TTTCCTGCTAGAAGGTGCCCGTGCGTAATTCTTGTATGACCTATGCGTAGTCTTGTCAGTATGACCTTTTCCCTTTTTGACCCATTTTCCGTGAACCAGGGACCGACGTCTTTCTTAACCTGTCACAGTTTGGCAGGGTTATTTCTATTTTTCCGAGCCCAGCGGTTTTTCCATTCTTCTTTTCTTCGTATTTGAAATTAATAACTTGAGATCCGCTGGGCGTGTTGGTTGGGAAGCGTCGTGAGGTCCGATGGCTGCTTCTTTGGCAGCCCTGTCTGCTGCTTCGTTCCCGGCTATCCCTATGTGGCCGGGAAACCCACCAACACGACCTTCTTCCCAACTGTGTCGATCCCTTTTAATTGTTGGTTTATTTTGTTTACTAATAGGTCCACGGAGCTTCTTCTCCTGAGCTTCAGGACCGCACTGAGCGAGTCGGTACATACTACATATGTCTCTCCTGTAAAATTACCTTTTGTTGCGTTGTGTCACTTTCCTTGTGAGTGGGCGATATTCAGACCTACTATTATCACACAACTTCACAAGGAAAATTCCCTTCAGCCTGGTGACCGAAGCTTTTTGAAGCCCGTCGTTCCCCAACTTTCGGGATACTTCTCCAATATTTTACTAAATTATTTGTTAACGATTTATTACCGTTACAATCGGTCCTGTTTACATGGAAAAACCACTTTGACACACAAACTTATACGTGTTGATCTAACAACTTTAATTCGCTGAATTGATGAACTGAAGGCGAATTCCGTCAAGTTCTACTCACAACACGGTTTTAATAGGTATTCACACAACAAATAATACATTTAGAAAAAAACGTATTCAAAATATTAAGCGAAGAAGAAGCATCGAACATGTATATTCAAAACAGAACATAGAAAATGGTTTAAATATGCGAAATAATATTTGAAAAGCCAATTTTTCCCCAAGGCATTTCTTCCTCAGAAATCCTCAGAATTATGACATTAATCTGAAAATATATTCTTGAAAACTTTGTAATGGGACTTAAGTGATCCTTTATGCCCGACTCTAGCTGGTAAACGGTCTGAGTCGAAGGGGGAAAGAGAACAGATTTGTAGCTGAACCCGTACTAATACCGTAAACTCATGCATATTGGATATTTATGATACTCTGACAACAAGAGGAAAAAGAGAGGCCCAGTTCCTAGGGATGCTGGTCCCGCTCCATTCCTTTAAAATATATGGCAGCCTTTCTATTGCTAGAACGTTTGAGAACTTCGTTACAACAGCGGGGTAAACTTAAATTTGTTGCTTTTGAATAAATCACAATCTTTTGTTTCGTTTCTTAAATATCGGTCATAAATCCTTAGGGTCGCATAGGGCACATATGCTGGGGAAATATGCAAACGAGACTTCTGTGAACCTATTCCTTCCTTTTTTCCCATATTCGTTATCTTTGGACCCAGTTGGCCGGCGAAGTGTGTCAAAAGCGTCGGGACTCAAATTTTTTTTCTTTTCATTTGCAAGCGAAAACTTGGAGATTATCTTGGTCACGTGGGAAGAGGCGGGTCGTTCCACTTACTCGCAATAAACTTTGACCCGCAATAACCAATTAACCGTTCTGTTTTAAAGCAGAACATTTCAGTATAATTGATTACTGCCGATTAAAGGGAATTGAATTATTTTAATCAATGAGCTGGACTATAAGTTGGTAATTTCATTTGGGGATGTTTCACGAGAAGAGGGAGAGCAAACCAGAAGGGTTCGAGCTATATGTGGTACATCCGATCATTTTGGTCTTTCAGTGCTGGGCTATGTGATTTATCGATTACTGATTACTTATTTATATAAGCTCAAATCTGCACATGCATGTACGCACATACGCACGTGTTCTAGGTTACGGGGATGCCTCGAGAATGACCCACCCTGGGTGTTGTCAATCCGGGGTCAGATCTCGTCTTATCCGTCCAGCCGTCGACGTTGGGCTCCGGGTGCTTTCAACAGCTAGCTCATTTCTGCCCCCAACGCATTCAGTTTATAGATTCAAACCCACTCACTCTTAACTACATTCTTTCCTATTTTCCGTTCACTCTGTTAAGGTGGTAGAGTACTCGATATTCCTCCACACATGTTATATATTCAATATAACAGTGTCGAAGGGGTAATGGGGTAATTCCAATTTAGTGGCGGGGATTTTTGGTGGCCCTGAGAAAGGCCAGTGTTACGGTTGGAGCTGTCGGTCGATGTCCGTGGATTGATATGCGCTGGATGTTGACGCAGCGGGAGTCCGTAGCCTGGTCGGCATTGAGAGTGGGAGAGATGATGCGTCAACGATTCTGCAATAACCAGGTCGATCCCCTGCTTATACACAGAGTTGCTGCAAGCTCATTGACTGCAGTGTGGAAGGCGAGACCATTGTTGAAGCAGTGGGACCAGGTGTGTAACTTAACCACAGGTGGTCACCACACATCGACCCTCTCACAATACACCTTGTCGCTAATAAATATATTCAGCCTCAATTTACACAAAACGAGATTTCAATCAGTACTAACAATAAAATAACCCTGCTTCATTAAAATATTGGAACAGGGGACTCAAATACTCCTTTCTGTGCCCAAGCAAAATCCTCGAATCGGGCGCCGTTATTACGCGCTCTCTGTATGGAGCCAAGGAATTGCACCCTTCAAATAGGTGTGACACATCGAAAAACCTTTCTCTACATGTTGGACACGTACGCGGGCTAGATCAAAAAAATAAATATGTCAACCTCGTATGGCCTATCGTTATCTATACACAGTATTCTTGATACGTCAGAGCTTCTCTGACGATCCGGCTGATCGACGTTGCCACTTTTTAATAATGTACTTTATTACATGTTAGCGTCAGAAGGCAGGATCAGGTGGTTATGCATGGAACGTCCCGGCTTTAGCCGCATCGACAGCCTTCTCATTAAAATAAAAACCGCTGCCAATCCAGTTCCGTACCAGCTGTGGGATTGAGATGTTCAAATTATTTATAAAAAGAAATCCTCTGCTTCGGGGAGGAACCCGTTGCGACTTGTTATGCTGAATCATCCCAATAAATATTTATCCTGTCGAAATATTCATGCAACTGTCAGTTCGACAAAGCTGAACGCGATTCGGAGAGGGGTTCAAAATCGTGTCAGGAATTGTACCGTACTGTACAAATGTGACAAAAAGGTTATTTCAAAATCTTACTTTGTGGTTTTTTTTCTACTTGGTTTCAAAATCGTGTTTGCCAGGTTGTTGCCTAGGGGCCGAGAAAAAATTGATGTAATTTATATAATTTCATCAAAATATTTGTTAATATTTTAACGTACTGCTTTTGCTTAGGCGCACTGAACTTGCAAAACAATCGGTTAGTTTTTCTCTCAAACTGTTTTTGCAAAACTGGGGGCAAAACCGATTCTTTAGCTTCACCTTGATAGACGCATTGAACTCGTTAAATCTTCGTTTTGTAAACACTGGAGGTAACACTGATTCCGGGAAGTGAGGTCGTTAGGTCAGTCCGTGTCTATGGTTCCGGACGTAAAATCAGTGTACACGGCATAAAGGTTGGGACCAAAAATGCTCCCTTGTGGGATACGAGTTTGTATTGGTATAATACCTCAGTACTCGTTGCCGCATCACTCTGAAGCAATGGTCGGTTAAATAGAATTACAGGATAAGGTTTGGTCCCCGCAGTTCTACTCAGTACGTTTAAAGTGGACCGAGATTACTGTCTTCTATGAAGTGAGATGTCTATAGTCCATACCATAGTCCTAAATATATGACTTGACTGCATCGTCGGTACCTCCTGATGTCGAGGGCAAGACTTCCTTTAAATGTAAATGTGCACTGTGTACCTTTTTCATTCAGTCTTGCCGAACATTTCGCACACGTCTTGTTATTCTGAAGGTATTCTTGGATGTTGGAGGTCTGATAGAAGACAAAATCGAATGATTACCCGCGTAGTTGTCGCGGGTTTTCAGGATTGGAATGTATCGATAAAGCTTGGGCAGTTGGATTAAGATGGATAGGAATCATGGTGTTGAACGTTTTGTAGCGGAAACATTTCAGCTCGTCGTCAAAAGGAATGTCGAGGTCATTGTGGACAGTTTGATTAATGGGGTAGCAAGGAGCTTCGACATTGGATTGGACGGGCTGGATATTGGACAAATTGACGGAACCTCACAGTTCCGAAGTGGTCTCAGTAACGCCTTGTAAAGTTGTAGTTATTGTATCTTAAGTTTCGTGTGGGACGTCAGTCTGTAAAATAAAATCGGGCTTAATTTTTTTAAATTTTTCTGGCGGGCTTCGGACACTGAAATCCGTTTTTACTGCGAGGGTCAATAGGGTACTCGATATTCCGCTATTATTCCGATATTAAGAGACCAAGGCGCGGCACTCCTCGACCAAGTGTAAAACAGTGAGCAACCTTTCTCTGCAAGCGGGACACCTTCGCGGTGTTTGCCCCAAAAGCAGGCGTCCTTGAGTCAATCGAGTATGTCCTATCCTCAAACGGGTGAGCACATCCCTTTCTTGTGTTTCAGATCCGCGGCGGGCCATCTCTCAGTCTTGCTCTCGCCAAGCAAGAGCTTCTCGGCCGTACCAACCTATCGACATTTTATGGTGTTCTTTACTGCCCGTACAGCGTCGCAGGCCGGATCGCAGTGGTTCTCCCAGCTTTCGCCGCTTCGTCTGTTTTTAGTAGGGTCTCCCTGTCCGCTCCTCACCTGAATGACAAATATTCTTTATCATTCCGAATGTTATCCTGCAACGAACATCGACATGTTCGATGTGTGACGCCACGGTAACTTTCGATCAAACAAGAGGCCGAGGAACCGCATTTTCTCCACGTATCGCACTGGTGCGCCCCACAAGCAGAGTTGTGGTGGGTCCTTCTCAGTCTGCAGACCGTGGACCCACACGGTCTTCGATAAGAAGAAAGTAAAACCTCCTTGGCGTTAGCAGTCACAACGTTGATCCCCGACGTACGACATGTCTTTGATCTGCGAGGGGTTGATGTCGAAGATCCCGTCAACAGAAAGAACGTGACACTCATCGCCGATCCCTGGGGGATAGTCTTGAACGTAATCCCCGGATTGCACTGATCCCAGCCTGACTCGGAATCTCCTGTTGAATGAATCGCGGCATTTTACCTTCGTTCGCGATTTCTTGGCATTACCGCAGTACCGCGATCTCCAGTCGGGCTTAATATACTTTCAACTGTTTTAACAGCAGTTTGATCAATACTTGTGGGCTCGTCTCAGGTGCTTGCATACATTCTACAAGTGCCCTCTGTTGCCTAAAAAAACCAACGGTGCATTCTTTCATAAAACAATTGGCTTTTGACAAACTTGGATAGATCAAGACAGTAAAGATAAAGAGGACCGACATGTAAGATGGCCGTATCGCATGTCACCATCGTGCAATGCCGTGTTTATTGGTTTCTCACTGTCATGATAACTCGACGGAATTACCGTAATTTTTTTTTTAAATTAACGCCCAAAGTGACCAACTCATTCCGAGTTTGTTATACGGTAACGGAAATCGAAGCCAGGCCAAATTGGGACGGCCGCCGGTATTATGCCCAATCATGCCGTTTCAACACCATTCTGGCTCAGTTACTAAGCGGTATTTGTTCAATCTCCAAGACGGTTTATCCTCATTTTGGACAAACGTTTCATATTACAAAAACGGTTCGTTTTGGCCCATCTGCTCAGTGCCAACGTTGGGAAAGTCAGAAAATCACGCCATTCCATTTTTTTAATACCAGAGATATATATAAATCGTAGTACTTTTTTATTCGTTGTGGAATTCCATAAACATAGCATTGTTATAAAAGATTCAAGATTCTACAAACATGTTGTTTTTTGTTTTTTGACAAATATTAAAGATTTATATGCATATTGGTTGATTGTACTTGTAATTTTCACGTGAGGAAGGCACAAACTAAGCACGTATTTATTAGAATCGCAGATATAAACTAAAACGTTTGCAAAGATTTTGTTAATTTCTTCTTGGTTTATATCGCCTATAAGAATTACACAACAGGTTTTTATTGTTTTTATTTACTTGGTAAATCACTTTAACGCATTACTCTAACCTTGACTCATTGAACTTGTAAAAAAAATCGACTCTGATTCTGGGCAATAGGGTTTTTCGGTTCACTACGTCTTCACGCGCGTTACAATGTTTCTCCTATGTAAATAGTAACGATATAACGATCCTGCACGTTATTTTCTCATTTTGGATTTAAGAAAAACAAATCTATTATAATAATCTAATCTTGAAATGCGTGCACAACATAACCAGAAAACTGCGTTTCATAAAAGTATTTAAATTACTTACAACTATTTGTCGCCGAGAATCAAATAGATTACACGACATTTGAAAAATGGCAAAAAAGGAGGAAAAATTCAAAAGGTGGGGTTGGGATGGGAAGTTGATGTCCGAATGGATCGAAGTCACGATAGCTCAAGTGGTAGAGCAGAGGCGTATCTAGCCGAAGGTCGTGGGTTCGAATCCCGCTCGTGACACAGACTTTTTTATCTCAACAAAAACCTTGATTAATTGAAAGATATTAATTGGTCATGCGGACCACGAAAACTAGTGTATTTAAATTATTTAAAATATTTTTTTCTTGTATAATTGAATAAGTTATTATTAATGTATTATTAGTATAAATTCGATCGAGCCTCTGGTTAGGCTAATTCAGTTTAAACAAAACTTATTTTCTTTAAAAATTCTTACCTAAGGGGTTTAAAGAGTGCTTAACACCAATACAGATTTTTTTTTGTTCCACTTAGGGTTAGGAAAAAGTTAGGTTTATTTAGATATTAATTGGTCATGCGGTCCACGAAAACTAGTGTATTTAAATTACTTAAAATATTTTTTTCTTGTATAATTGAATAAGTTATTATTAATGTATTATTAGTATAAATTCGATCGAGCCTCTGGTTAGGCTAATTCAGTTTAAACAAAACTTATTTTCTTTAAAAATTCTTACCTAAGGGGTTTAAAGAGTGCTCAACACCAATACAGATTTTTTTGTCTCCACTTAGCGTTAGGAAAAAGTTAGGTTTATTTTTAAGGGACGGATCAGGTTAAGTAGGGTTAGAGTTAAGGTTAGGAAAACGTTGTTGACACAGGCTAAAAGAAGAATAAATACGCTTAATTCCAACGATTATAATAACGTTAAATTTGGATAATATCCAGAGAACTAATGACTTTTTAACTAGAACGCCAAACAGCAGATAAATAAAAATTTATACTTAAGGACTTTAAAGGGTGCTCACGAACAATTGTTTTCGAAATCAAATCATTTAACTTCTAACACGAACCCGACCTAACCTAATTATACTACCTAATCTAACCTAACCTAATCCCAATTCAACTCTAACCCTAACCTAACCTGTCCCTCAACGCAAACCCTACCTAACCTAAATTGTCCCTAACACAATTCACGCGAAATGCCCGGTAGCCCGACAAATAGTCACGCGAAAAAATTGTATATACAACCCAAAAATATATCCATGTTAAAATTAAAGTTATTATATTTTATATTTTTCTTTTTTACATTTGACATTTGCTTGGAGTTATGAACGCAAATAGTTTGCATAGAATATTTCTTCTTCTGTTTTGTACTCTATTAAAAGTTTATGCGATATTGCAACAGATATTTATAGTTGTTTATTTTTTTTACCATTGAAGTTATTATATTATTAATTATGTTATGCATAATTTAAATGTTACACAATTATGCAAATAACTTATAATCATTTCTTTAGAACTGGTTAGTTCACTTTACAATTTTGTATTAAAACAGCAAGGATTAAGGTCAATAATAAAATAGTAATAAGTTTACTTAGTCAAGTTTTCGTGGGATATATCCTTTTCATAAGGGCTTTGAAATTGAGTGAACTTTTGGAATAATAACTTCGAACTCTTGTTCAATGGGATATATTTTTCGAAAGTTGAACGAGAGAACTGAATGTTTTTTTTCCTTTAAATTGATCTGAATTTGTAATATAAAATTATAATATTAAAGGCTAAATACAAATATTAATTATATCGAGATGTTTAAGTTTGATACCACTGATCCATTTTTACATGTTAAATTGTGTTAACATTAACCTATTAATGAAACGTTCAATATGTTCTGGAACCATTGATCTTTAAAATTACTTATGATTTCAATATTTTATGACTAATTTTATACATGATTATGCAAATGAAACAAGGATTTAATGCATGGTCCGAGCAGGAAACTGTATTTAATGGAAGAGGGGATTCGTTCTCACCAAGCGGTTTACCCAAAATTCTCGAACAAAGGCAGAAAACCATATTTTAAAAAATATATATATTTAAAATAAGTTAAAAAAAGTCATATAGGATTCATTGGTAAAAACGCTCGGCGAATTCGGCCTAGTATCAATTTCGATTCAGAACACTTGTAGCATTTTTCATAATCAGATAATTCAATTTTTTGTCTTTCAGTCTGGTTTATTTTGTACTTTCTAGCAAAGTTCAAAGGCGGATTAAAATAAGGATAAGTACCATACAGTGTTCCCTTTCAAAAAGAAAAACCCTTTACCTAATTAGAAATACAAATTGTTCAGTCAAATATGTGGGTTAATTTTGACAGAGCTTCGTTCAAGTGCTATGTCGCCTGTCGAACTTAACCTCTCAAACAGGAAACGTTGGGTGAAGTAGGAGATTGTGATGTATAACCGTTCGAAAATTACTAGTTGAATAGGATTAACATCGATTGTCTTCCTAGGAAATAATCATATAATTGTACAAATTGTTTTTAATGTGTGTAACTGAAATTGTTAAAAGAAGAATGGAGCTTGAATAGCTTTAATGGTGTCGTGTTTTATAAGCATTTATTCTCTTTTCTCCTGTCAGCTTAGATGAAAAAGCTGTATGAGATTAATTCACCCTTTCGTTCGAAATTCCGATGTTTTTTTTCGTCATTTCTTTATACCAATTTTTTCTATTCTTCGGTATTTTTACTACTTCCTTAAGTGCAATTTTTAGATGTGATTTTTAGCTATTTTTTTGTCAAAATATAAAACTGTTATATTGTTCAATGTNTATATATATAAAAACCATCCCTAACCTGTCCCCAATACTACCGAACCTAACCTGTCCCTATCCCTAACTCAACCCACGCGAAATGACCAGTAACGTAAAATCGATTACGTA